TGTTCTTTAACTTAAACATATAGCTGACCACCTTCATCAACAAAACATGAGCAACACTTGTGTCATATAGAGCATAGAAAAATTGATACAGTGAGTCACTGAGTTTTTACTTTATATTTCATAAGCCAAGGCTAATTCTCAGCCGCAAAATTGGGCAGCTGGTTCCAGTTCCAAAATGCGATACTTCAAGATAGGAGGAGAAAAAGGGGTGGTGGTGGGGGTGGAGATATCTATCATATGTATATCGGTTCTTTGTTTTTGAAGTTTTGCTGCCTTTTCAGGTCTTCTACAGTCTACACCAAGCAATGGTTAATATAGATATTCATATAAATCCGATTTTTATCTGTCCTAGTTATGGATGGTTGCATAATTTATCCATTTTGTCTAAACTGTTTTCAACCTGCCCATATCTGATCCGACCCATCCATTTGCCAGCACTAGTACATTGATTTCTCTTATAACTTACCGTAATTGTATGCTTCACTATAACAAAGACTGCCTATTATTTCTTCTTTACTTCCTGTAGCAGAAACTGAAATTGACTGCAGTTATTGTTATTGAAGGGTTAATTGTACTACAGTTTTAAAAACATTTTCTGGAAAACATCAAACATATAATTGGGAATGGAGAATGAAGATGTATAGGATAGGGTGGTCTGTATGCAGAGTAATTGATGGGCTCTCAGATTCCCAACAACAGCTAAGCCTCAGTTCCAAATTAGTTGGGGTCGGCTATGTAAATCCTCATTTTGTCGTTTCAAATGCCTCTACTGGCTTTTTATTTGATACGTGTGAGAAGTATTAAACTTATATAGGTTATCAAAATATGTGGGAGATGTAGTGAACTCATAGATTGTTTCTTCTAATCAACAAGCATTCATTTAGAAGACTGCTACCATTATTGAAATATAGCATTCTGGAACCAGTGTCCATTCGATTAACACATTTATTGAATTTTTGAGCAGAGATTTGTTTTGGCCTGAAAGAAGAAGAGAGATGAGTCCATTCGGACTTCCAAAAAATTTCAGAAAGCATGAGTCCTTATTTTTAACTGTCTGGGCAAATGTGATTGGTGAAACTACGGGTTCTTTCTTCTGATGACTGTCTAAAATGTTCTGTACTTTTTATAGTTGACTGGAGGGAAAATTGGTGACCGGCTGCTAGCTGAATCAGAAACCAATCTTGCCATAAATGTTCTCCCCAGTACTTCAGAATCATTTGAAGTGCAGGGTAGAGGTGAACTTCAATTAGGTGAGTTGTGTGGTGTAACAACCTCTAACAATGTTGTCAGTATTTGTGCTCGTCTCATATGTGCATAAGGGACAAAATTAAACCGGATCAAGCAGTCCACTGAATTCTCTCTCTAGAATTTTACATACCACCTAACTCTTTCTTTTTGTTTTTTCTTGTTCATCATAGGTATCTTAATTGAGAACATGAGACGTGAAGGATTTGAGCTCTCTGTCTCCCCACCTAAAGTCATGTGAGCTTCTTTGTCCTTATTCTAGACTGGTTTGCTAGGAATCACATCTTGATATGCCTGCATACTCTTATTCTGTACTGTTAACTTGTGAATTGGTAAATGTTATGATTATATAATAATTCAGGAGATACAAAACATATAGCAAAAAGGACCAGAGAATTATTTCCTATCATGGAATGGTCTTTTGATTAAAGCTTACCAGAACTAGACATACACGTCTAGTCACATATTCCAGTATATGCACATATTTACATATCTATGGTTGACAAGACATGTATAGCATCATTTAAGACAGTATTTTTTGGTGTCTTGAATGGCCTAATGATATCTGTGCCATTGGTATCTATTATTCACCAGTAACCTTGGTGATAAACTGCTAATATTGCATTTGCAATGTCTGTATGTTTAGGTACAAAGTAGAGAAAGGTACTAAGCTTGAGCCAATTGAAGAAGTGACTATTGAGGTGCGCAAGTCTGCATAAACCTACAGTATTGTCTTTTACTCATTCAGAATTTATACCAAACCTCTTGGGACCATCTTCTGTTTCTAGGTTGATGACGAGCACGTAGGTTTGGTCATGGAAGCACTTTCTCACAGGCGGGGTGAAGTTACTGACATGGGCCCTGTTCCTGGCAGCATGGGAAGGACTAGAATGTGTCTGACATGTCCTTCAAGGTATTTTTTTCAGTTGTTCTTTGCAGGTTTTATTACTGTATAGAGCATGATGATACGTAATTAGAAGATTGGTTTTACCTCCCTCACTTTATCTCTGCCTTTCGGAATAGTATTCTGTTCATCCCTCCTTGCATTTCGTGGATACATTATGATACTGATTGATCTTTTAATATATACCGGAAGGTTAGTTATCTGAGCATTTTTTGAGTAAGGTAAAGTACTAAATAGCTACATTTATGAGTCTTATCTGGGCATATTATTTGTTCTCTATCCTCCTTTTATCTTGTCTTTGTTTTTCAAGGTATACCTTTTTTTTTTTGAGAAAGGTAACATTTTTTCAAGGTATACCTATCGACCCAGAAGTATGGGATTAAAATATGACTAGATTATTCTTTGGTTAACAGAATGACAAAGCTAATTGCCAATATGTTGAAATGATTAATCAATGCATTTTCTTCGAAGATCGTATTAGAGGCAACTAACAAATCTGTAGATTTCAGATTCATGCTACCTTTATGTATTCACATTTCACACCTCGTTTGTATTCAGCATGTTCTCAATCTTTGATGATTAATTTCATTGTTTAGTTTGTGTCCTAATTTTAATTTCCCCTGACCTATTGCAGAGGGCTAGTGGGCTATAGAAGTGTGTTCAGCAGTGACACCCGTGGCTCTGGATTTATGCATCGGGCTTTTCTGAGTATGCTTTTCAACTTATCTTACTACTTTTCTGACAAGTTTATCTGACAATTTCTCCAATTTCGTGCTGTGCACGTCACAGTAGGATCTCCATGCCTATTTATATAATGATAGCAAAACTGCAAAAGAAAAAGGTAAGTATGTGCTAGCAATATGTGGATGTGAGTGTGTCAGCTCATTTGAACTTTGTAACAACACATTCTTGTCTGGTATTAGATGGTTCCAGAAATTATATGGGTGTTACAAATGTACCCCTCTTTATATCCCTGTTCTTTCTTTGAATCCACCTTGGGTAAACCATCCCCCTTTTTCTTTCTTAAAATTATCCTCTGTGCTTTTGGTCGGCTGAGGTTCTTCATGAGCCAGTTTTATCTTTGACAGGGAGCAGGGAATTTGCATTCTTTGTCCCTCAAATGTTGACATTCTGGTTTTGGTCCTTGTGATATATGACTAAGCATATTTAACATTCAATTAATATGTGTCCTTCTGGTCCTTCTATATAGGGAATATGTTACATTTACACTATTTTAGAACTATACTCCCTCCGTCCCTTTTTAGTTGTCCACTTTAGAAATGGCACACAGATTAAGGCAACAATGATTAGCATAGTGAAGTTACAATTTTACCCTTTTGACAACTTTTCACTTCAAAATTACAACCACTTATTTGAATTCAAGTGAAATAAATTGGAGGGAAACAACATACACTTTTACAATTTTCAAGAAGTGTAAATAAGGGTATAATAGGAAAAAATTTGTTGTCCTTTCTTGATTTGTCAAAATGGACATCTAAATAGGGACAACTAAAAAAGGAAATATGGACAAGTAAATAGGGACGGAGGGAGTATTACCCTCATGAATAAATGGATATTAAATTATGTAACAGTTAATATAACTCTTAGTCCCTCAAATATCAACATATTCTGATTTTGGTCCTTGTGATAACCACATTTAACCTTCAACTAATTGAAATATGCATTTTGGAACCCTCTCCTTGTGGAGTCACCACATTCAAATTGTTTATTGTTACATAATTTAATATCCATGTTTTAGGAGGGTAATATAATTCTAAAAATAGTGTAAATGTACCATATTCCCCTATATGGAAGGACATCTATTCTTTGAATGTTAAATATGCTTTTAGTCATACATCACAAGGACCAAAATTAGAGTTTACTAATAACTGAGAGGGGGAATTTGATATCATCATGCATATGGTGGTCTGTGTGGAGAGGAAGGACTGGAAAATATTTTGAAGATAGATCCAATTCCATTCACAAAGTAAAATGGAATTGTTTAGTATTTTTATTTTTTTGGTGTAAACAATTATGTATAGTGGATGTAGATCAAATTATAGAGTTGATAGGAAATTTGTAATTTTTGTGATGAATTTTGAAAGGTAGCCAGCATGTCCTAATGCTGAAGAATACAAAATTACCAATTCTCAAAAAAAAAAAAAACAAACAGTGTTACTACCCCTGATTTTAATCGACAGTCAAGAGTAAAGAAAAGCTTCAATTGTCATGCTGATTTCTGAATAGGCACTTCAAAATAAGTTATTTCCCATTTTGACTTTTAAGTATTGATGCAAGGGTTATCTGTGCATAAACACAATCAATTCACGAATACATATATAGAGAACAAATTTTCATTCAGCAAATGCCAAAACTCTAGTTCTTTTGGAGTTATTCTTTAGCCTTTTTTCTGTATATTTTAATTACATCTAATGCATGTTTGAATGGCTGCTATATGGTTTTAACTTTTCATTATTCTTAGCTTCTTTCTCCTTGGTGCAGCTTATGAAAAATATCGTGGTCCTCTTGGAAATGTCAGGAAAGGAGTTCTAGTAAGCATCCTTACTACCCTGTAAAGACACGTTTGAGATTTCTTTCTTTATTCCTCTTGCCATCTTCAAGATGCTATTGTTTCATAATTGTGAAGTACAAATAGCGTGTGTCCCTCAGTTCTGCCTGGGATGTCTTTCATCTCCTATTCTACTCATCTTAAAGTATGTTCAGCCAATTTCTACTTTAAATATTGTGACCGCTGCATAAATGTGTCCCCAATAATTCAGTACTTTCTGTCTGTTGGCCTGTTACAACTTGTGACTTTCATGGTTCATAGTACCATTTCTCATTTTCATGCCTTACAATGTGTAGCTGCCTAGCTGGTGTACTGGAGCTTGTATTCCAGTACTCTCCAGAATGGTGTTCTTGAGATCCTTTTACATTCCTACCATGTTTAAGAGACTAGGAGCCTTTGGATTGGCTTAAAAGTTGGTCAAACTTATTTTCAAGTCAATAAAAAAAGTAAAAAAACCAAAAGTAGGTCTCCCCTGGTTTTTATTTTGACTTAAAAGTCATTTAAGTTTGACTTTTTATTTTTTGACTTAAAAGCTACTTTTTTTAAGCCAATCCAAACGGGATCTAGGTCTGAATAAATCTATCATTTTTCTCTCAAAACATCTTTAATTGATCCCAAAATTCCCTTGAATTTTATGTTCTCTTCCCAATTGTCAAGTATATTTTTTTTGAGTACATCAAATGCCGCTTCCATTAGCCTTTTGAGGCAGTTTAGCTCAGATTTGAACATATGTCTGGAAAATCCTCATATCACACTTGTATTTGATATACTATCTTCTGTTTTTCGACAAAGGATATATATATATATCTCTTGTTTCAATCTGTGGATAACTGTACCTCATTCTATTGATTGAACAGGTATCAATGGGACGTGGGTTAATCACTGCTCATGCATTGATGGGTTTAGAAGCTCGTGGAGTTCTCTTTGTGGCACCTGCGATGGAGGTGGTTCAACTGAACTCTTTTGTCCTAATTTCTTTCCTTAGTGGTCAACTACCAAACATTTGTGTGATCTCAAATATGCATGACCTGGTACTGATAGCTTTGATGTTGATGCCATTCCAGTTGTGATCACTTAAAAGGGGTGATTAGGAGATATTTTATCTGTGGAATGTATAACATATTACAGGACCAGAGTCCTTGCAATATGAGGGCTTATAAAATTCTAAGTATTGAAGTAAGGTAGAAAACAAAATGTGTATACTATCAGGGATCTTGACAGCGTTGTCAATCACATGCTCTTTTGAAGAATATAAAAATATTTTTATCTTACTTTGTCTTGGGTAATATGCAGACATATGATGGCATGATTATTGGAGAACATTCTCGAGATACAGATCTTGATGTAAGGAGCTGTTATTTCATTTCTTACAGTGTGTTTGTCATGTGCATTTGTGACTCTTGGGTGATTGCATGAAACAGGTCAACCCGGTTAAGGCAAAAGAACTCAACAATATAAGGTGTGCTAGCAAGGATGAGAATGTCAAGTTAACTCCACCTCGCCTTGTGAGTTTCTACTTCGCTTGTACTTCATCCAATTGCAAAACTTTGTGCTGTTACTTTTACCTTTCTCAGGAAAAAAAAAATCCTTGTACTTTATCATATTTCCTAATGTGAAGCATTCAAACAAGTTTAAGAAATTTAGAACTTCACTAGATTGTCCATCTTCAAAAATCTCTTAGCTAAAGGATTTTGTAGTGTTTAAGCTCTGCTCCTTCCGGTTATTGATAGTCTGACATTCGATGGTTTTGTTTCAGATGTCTCTCGAAGAAGCCATAGGATATGTTGCTTCCGATGAGCTTATTGAGGTATCTTTATTATTTGGATAATGACTTTGCATTACAGATGACACTTTCTATAATACTTCTTTCGAATAATTGGTTGTTTCTCTACATTAGTGTAAATTGGTGATTAGAATGGAAAATAAAACTAATTTGGTATTATTTTTCGTTAAACCAAGGAAATAAACCTATGCTATTAAAAATGTGCAGGTTACACCAAAAGCCATTAGGCTAAGAAAGAGATACTTGGAAGTGAACAAGAGAAAATCAATGAGCAAGAGGCCCAAGGATTGAAGTATTTTTCCTCTATACTGGTCAAATATTTAGCCTCACATTTTGTATACATGAAATTTAATTATCTTCACCTCTACTTTAATGTTCCTTCTTTATACAAATCTTTACAATTATATAGATAGGGAAAAAAATTGTATCACATAAATATTCTTTTTCAAGCACTCTATCGGGAATGTATTTCAGTGTAACAAGCTTATTAAAAGCAGAGTTACCGAAAATAAAATGCTTGAATGCAATAAAATTTTGTCCAACTTTGACCCCTCCCCTTTCTCATCGTTCATCCAATTCACGTGAACTAATTATACTGAGTATGTTATTGTTAATTGTATTAATTAGTACTATACGTCATATTTTGGTTTAATCTATTTCTAGATTTTTACTTGTGTGCACGTCCCCTTTCTAGTACTAATGTTTTACAACTCATAGCAAGCTGCCAAAGACAAGTACCCGTGACCATTGATTAGTTATGCTGCTCTTTTATTTGTCGTTATTATGTTCGTAGCACACATTTGAGTATTTCTGTTTCACACTAATAGAAAAATTTAAATTAACGTGGTACTCGGTGCTTCTAGTTGAATTAAAAAGCTTTGTTTTCACCTACCCATTTACCACTTGAATGCAAAAAAACCTTTGATTTCTTCACCAAATCTAAAAGGGATCCAACATTTATTATACTGTACTTCGACTCCGCCTTCAGTGGGGTGGAGGTAGAGTAGTGCGTTGGGGGGATTGGGGGAAAGAGGGCTGGAATTAAAATGAGGCATGTTGAGGATGAAAATACTGTCATCGTAAAATGTTATTTCTTCTATTTGTAGTAGGAATATTTTGTTCCTCATTTTTTAGGAACTTATCGTTTAAAGAAAAAAAAAAACTTTTTAAATTTTAACTAACCAGATATAAAAAAAAGTGGGATGCATTTTTTCCCTACCAAACACACCTATGTATTACTCCATATAATAATAAAATGCAATAATACCCAACTTAGGTACTGTTTCAGTTTATTACTTATATAATTTAAATAAATTAGTGGGCAGTTGCCGTCGATGTCAGACAATCAGAATATATCCGTGTCAAAATAAATATTGATCCACATTCTATTAGTGTGAACCACTTATTTTATTTAGTTGTATCTAAATCTACCAAGTTTACAAGTTTCTATAATAATTTAAAATTATTACATATATAGTTATAACTGTGCTTACATTTAAATATTCTAATAATAATATTTTATTCCTAGAAATTAGTAAGTATTTTTTTATACCCAATGAAAACTCAAATTGTGCCTATTTTGAACTTGTAGAAAAGAAGAAAGTCAGAGACTTAAGGAGGGGGGATTTAAGAAAAAAATAAAATATTTTTGAATAAATCTCCCTCTCTCTCTTTTTAAAAATTAAAAAGCAAGCGGTGCCTCTTTCAGATCTCTGTTTTTCTTCTATCGTACTCCGTGCCTCCAAAAAAAAATCCTTTCTGAAAAAATGGGGGCATACAGAGCCGACGACGATTATGATTACTTGTTCAAGGTGGTGTTGATCGGTGATTCCGGTGTCGGAAAATCTAATCTTCTCTCTAGATTCAGTCGTAATGAGTTCAGCCTTGAGTCTAAGTCCACCATCGGTGTTGAGTTCGCTACTCGAAGCATTCATGTTGAGGATAAGGTTGTTAAAGCTCAGATTTGGGATACCGCTGGTCAGGAACGGTATGTCCTACTCTTTTCCCTGCTCATTACGATATATATGTTTATCACTACTTGGAAAATTGAAATTTGAGATCTACTGTGCTGCTTTGTACTTGTGGATGATTATCATTTTCTGATAAGTTAGATCAGAGAGCTAAGTGTAAGATCGTTAGTATAGGAGGGATTGGAGTCCATTTGAAGTATTGACGGATGTAGATCCAGTAGTTTAGTTAGTTTCTCTGTGATAATTCGTGCTAACTTGGTACAAATTTGTGTGTTTTTTTTTTGAATTTTTTTTTGCTACATATATACAAAGATGAGTCAAAGGCAAATGCATATGAACATACTGGCTATTCCACACTTGTGGCTGCCGTGGTTATTAGCGTGGTTGATTTTGCCTTTTGTAGCTACATTCAGTACTTAGGCTGAGATGCTTTTTGTGAGCTGAATCGTAATTAGTGGAGGGGTAAACTGATAAAGAATGGTCTGATGAGATGAGAATAATAAAGTTCAAAACTTTTAGTCTTGATCTTTAAGTGCTCCTGATTTTAGGCAAGCTCAACAACTTGTCCAACTCATATCTTTACTAGTTTAAAAGGGACCCGAACTAATTATGATCTGTAACCATCTTGCACTGGTGATAGAGCACCTCAACCACCAGCTGGTAGGTCAAAGCCCTGTAGATGAGGGCAAGTACTAAGGGGTCATTTGGTGTGAGGGATATGAATAAATAGTCATGGGATAATATTTGGTTGTCATGTTTGGGATAACTTATCCCACCATTTATACCATAGTGATGGGATAAGTTATCCCAAGATAACTAATCCCAGGATAATTAATTCCGGGATAACCTGTTCCCAACCAAACGACCCCCTAGGAATACATTTGATCTTCTCAGGGTGTGGTATCATCAGATTTCTGATATAGGAATTTTTAATTGAAATGGTGTGTGTTGAGTGACAAATCCAATAAATGGGTCTGTCAGAATTTTCAAGACCAAAATGGTGAGAACACATTGGCTGTGGAGCATCTTTGACATCCAAAAACAGACGTTCGTGAAGTGTGTTTGCACGGAAGGTGCCCTATGAACGATGAGTCTTCAGTTTATGCCAAAATATGTGAAAGGGTCATCCATTGTAACACATCTTCAATGAATATTTTAAAATCCCAAGAATATGAAAAATGTGCTTTCTTTGCACTAATTTGAGCTGAGATAGTCGGCTTTTACAGACTTGAAGGGTCATGGATAGCGTGACACTTTCAAGGAAATTACAAGGTGTCTTATGCTTATAGAGCAGTAACAACAACATACTCCGTGTAATCCCACAAATTGGGGGTCTGGGGAGGGTAGCCTTTTCCATAAATATTAAAAACTCCATTTCTTTCCTATTTTCATCAGATCTAAGATCCCCCTTTCATTTCCACCATTGTAATAAATTTATTCCTGATATAGCTGATCACAAAATAAAAATAATAGGCGAGGTGATTCTATGTCGTGGCCTAGCCTACTTACACTATGTTTGGATCATTGTTATCCATTGTATTGTATTGTATCGTAACTATATCTACAATGTTTGTTTTGATTGTTACTTAAAATGTATTGTATTGTATTGTTAAATTTCGTTGTTACGTAACAATTAAAAGCCCTATTTTATGGAACAACCGATTTGGTGTGTTTCCATTGTTACTTAATTTCTTTTTCCAATTATATCTTTACATAATATTTCAAAATACTATTTTAACCTTTACCTTATATTATTTAATTCTAGTCACACTTCCTACTCTAGAATAATTGTGGATATTTTAGTAAATTTATAAATTACAATACAGTACGATACAATCAAACCAAACAATTAAAATGTTATTAAACAACAACAAACAATACAGTCTAGCCACACATTGTATCTACCATACATTACAGTACAATAGAGTACAATACAATACAATACATTATGAAACAATGGGTAACAATGATCCAAATAGAGTGTTAGACACAAGCACGTGGTGGGTCTGCAGGAATGAGCCACCGGATAAATACACTTCGCCTCGTTCACCCTCCCCTCCTCCACCTTTAGAAGGGCCTAAATGGAGAATCCTCCGACACCAAGAAGCTGGAGTTTTATTAAATAATTTTTTTAACGTATTAGATGAATGATCTTCATAGTATATGATCTTTTTTTTTTCTTATCTCGGATTCTCAAAGTATAGGATAATTTGTACGTATTTATATTTTAGTAATTTATGAAGTTATTGTCTTTCTATATATTTGTTGGTGTTTTTATTTTTTCCATTAATAATGATGATCAATACAATTGAAATTCGGGGAACTTGAGGCATGTTTGTCTGAATTGCAAGTCTTAGACTTTGAATATTTCAGATAAATGCGACTGGATGGTTCTTTTTTTTTTTAAAGCCAGTGAAGTGAACTTACAATTTTTTTTGGGCAGTAAAAGATGCTTTTTATGAGTATGATGTAGCTAATACACGACTAACCCAAAGTATATTAGGGATGCTCTAATTTTCGGTACCTATAATTTGTATTTGACATGTCGTATGCTGGTGAGATACTGCTTCCCCAGCCATCTGTTTTGTTTCTACTCTCTTTTTGCCCATGAATTCTACATTTTAAACTTTTAAGGGGTCGTTAATTATTTTATCTCATCTTCCATATGGCATAACTTATCCCACAAAATGGTTGGACTAAACAATACACACTATCAAACATAGGATAAAATATCCCGGGATTATTATCCTTGTCCCACCAAACGACATCTAACTTGATATGAGATGTAAAGTAAATTCATTTCAAAAAATAGAAGTTGCACTTTGTTGGCTTATATCTGAACTTCTTTGTGTCCAGTAGACCCATATATTGTGTAGTAATCTTCTTTACATGGGATAGTTTTAATATTTTAGTTTCCTCTATGGAAATGTTATGAGTTCATGTATCATAATCTTAACTGATGTGCTCTTTCTTGAAGATATCGAGCAATCACAAGTGCTTACTATCGAGGAGCTGTTGGTGCATTGCTGGTTTATGATGTCACTCGTCATGTGACTTTCGAGAATGTTGAGAGATGGTTGAAGGAGCTCAGAGATCATACTGACTCGAACATTGTCATAATGCTTGTGGGAAATAAGGCCGATTTGCGTCACTTGCGGGCTGTATCCACTGAGGATGCTAAGGCATTTGCTGAGAAGGAGAGTACTTTTTTCATGGAAACATCTGCTCTGGAATCCATGAATGTGGAAAACGCCTTCACAGAAGTTCTCACACAAATATACCGTGTCGTGAGCAAAAAAGCTCTTGAAGCAGGAGATGACCCAGCAGCATTGCCCAAGGGACAGACCATTAATGTCGGAAGCAAAGATGATGTTTCAGCAGTAAAGAAAGTTGGGTGCTGTTCTTCTTAAAACAAGGACTGATCTGGATGTTGGAAGATGTTCTATTCCAACTTTTGAGTTAAAATTTTCATGTGGCAGTGGTAATTCTCCTATTCTGTACAATGAATTGACCACATGAATCGTTAGCCGTGAGTGCTCTAGTTTACAGATGCTCAAGTTTGAATTTGAGCTCTCCCTTGAGTTCCTCAGCATTCTTTATCCTTGTTTCTATATTTATCTTAGCTTAGTGTATGATTGTAGTATAGCTTCTTATGAATATCTTGGATAGAGTGAATTTTGATTGCAAAGATTGAACTGAGACATGTTTGAACAGATGCTGTCCCACTAGATTTATCAAAATCAATCATATGTTATTTTTAATGATGTTATTTTCCATCTATCATTTCACATTTATCTATAGTTATATATATTTGATTTCATAGACGAGCATAGTCTTAGGTGCAAAATGGATCCAAGAGCTAACATAATAAGAGGCCACAGGTACTTCGATGGAGGTCAGACTAGAGAGTAAACTTTAGTAGCAATCATAATAGAGAACGCTTGAATCAGATTCACCTATGCTGCTCGGATCATTCAAAAATACCACCAGGTGTGTGTCAAATCCTTCGAATGCTATGCATTTTTTTAGGATCTGATGCGCTTACCAACATTTTAGAGAGTCCGAGCAACATAGGCATTCATTCATAGTCCTCTTATATTAAGAGGTAAAACTCCATGAACATCTTGGGAGATTCCCGAGGAGAACGCACAATGAAGCACATTTAACAAATTGGAGACACCTGAACTCTAAATAATAACTCTTATTACTGAAAACCACACAAGTAAAATTGTCATCAATATTGCCTCAATGGCTAGGTGCAAAAATTCACCAAAATATGCAATTCTGTTACAATATGAAATGTTGCCTTTTATTCATAGACCAAAGGCTGCAAACAATGGATAATCCATTTTGGTTAGTAATATTCTAAAGGCTTTGACCTGTCAACCTTACATGTTCCGAACATCGTCCTTTTGTCGGAGTTGCTTTAAGTTTGTTTACCTCCACAAGTCAAAATAGTAGAAATAAGTAGAGAAAAACAGACATTGATTCGTTAAGTTGCTCAACTGCAGAGGGGTCTTACATTGTGTATGTTAGCACAACACTAGCAGAGGATCAACCAGCTTTTACTTTATCCTTAGTACTTTCTGCATGACTGATGCTAAAAATACTACTTATTCCTCGTGTTTTGGAATGTTGCTCCAGTTCATCAATTCTGTTCTTAAGGAACTCAAGCTCTCTACTCAGCTCATCGTCTCGCTGCTTCAATGCCTATGAAAGCAAAACAAATTATGATTGAGTTTTACATGGAAACAGAACATGGCGCTCTATGATTTCAGCACAAGAAAATCATTATTATGAATGTCGATATGCACCTCTAGTTCCTTCCTCCGAACTTCCTCCTTTCTAGCTTCAGATCTGGAATTTCTTTGCACCTCAAAGATAACGGCCGCTCCAGCAACCTGAATAAACAGATAACAAAAGCATATTGATGGCGTTCTGCCTTGATGGAAAAAAAGAGAAGACTGAACAAAGTAATTCATGCAAATCTCCACACTATACATGACTAGATAATTGGTGTGTTATGCACTGAAAGAATATATCAGGCTAAGAGGAGCATCTACAATATTCTGCTGTAGATTAATTAAATCAGCACTGCACTTTTCAATCCTGTATCCGGTTAGGCTAAGGCAATTAGTCTTCAAATAGCAAATGTGTAGCTAACTTCACTCAACTCAACAAGTCATCTTGAGCAGTTGGAATTGAATGCATCAATTGCCATCTAGGATTTCTTTAAGAGCAATAGTAAATCTGTATTTGTAGTTAAATAAAGATGTATCTCCTTACTTTTAAGTACAACATGGCTTCAATTAGTGATGCAGAGCTGTGCTTGATCTTTTTAGCACGTTACAAAATATATAATTGTTGCTAGTTGCACATACTACTCAGCATCTTCTTAATGCTTGCAATCTACAATACTATTTTTTACTGATAAAAATAGAATGCGTAGATTTTTGTATTCGTACTTGGGGGCCATTTGATAACCCAACTAGACAAGTTTGATAATAGAAATATAAAATCATCCGATACCACGTCAAATGCTTTCAAACTTGAACATTGTCACCGGAACTAAAAGTTTCTAATCATTAGATATCACTTCCTTCATCCCAATTTCTTTGTTTAGTTTTCATTTGGCACAACTATTAAATTAAAATCGAAATATGAACAACTTGATATCTGTTAAGAAACAAGTGAGGTCATCCTATTAATTTGTGCAGCAAAATGGTGGATTAGATGAGTACCCCTGGTGTGGCCTAGAGGATAGTGAAGCTGGAATTAAGACCATAAGAGAACAAGGTTCAAATCCCAGTAGAAGCAAAAATATAGGCGATTTCTTCCTATCAGCCAACACATCAGTGATCAGAGCTACTCTTTACATGTAGGGGTGAAAGATGTTGGTACCTGGCAAAATAATCAAGGTGCTTACAAGCTAACCTGAACACGCTCAAAATTTTGGTAACTACCATACACTGCCATGTAAGCAATATTTTTTTAGTGTACTGACCCCTAATCAAATTATTTGGACTCAGAAGAGGAAAACCTGTTTTATCTACAAATAGTGATCAAATTGGCATATTACCAGATCATGCCCATATTGCCACAACTATAGATATATTAATTTGAGAATAAACTTTAAAGGCCACTGTAACGATAGGCACATTTTGAACCGAGATCAGGTGTTCAATAGGTTGAACCCTTCGAAGAGGTATCTCAATTTTCTGGGTAAGTTTGAAGGGAGTTCATGTACTCAACCTAATTAAAACGCTTACATTACCAATAACATAACAATATTAGACACATTAAGTCAACGTCTTTCACATTTTAGTGCACATACATAAAGAAGACAATTAGGCAGTACCACAAATTAAGATTATTTGAAGTACTTACGAATTAAGTGATTTATATATTTTGTGAAACTTGAGCGGGGGGGTCTATCAGAAGCAGCCGATCTACCCGACAAAAGTGGAGGTAAGGTCTGCGCACATCCAACTCTTCCCAGAAGCCCATTTCAGGGATTACATTGGTATGTAGTTGGAGCAAAACTAATTTCAGATAGCCTTCAGTATTCAGATAGCACTTCTAGAAACTAGTGGGTTGAACAAGAACAAGCCCCTATTCTGAAGCATAACATGTCATGCCTTCTCATTGCATCTAGAATACCAGACTAAGTTCAGGATTAATGACCTTCCTGCTATGGTTTGCTATGAACATATGAATAGAATCGTGAGCTCTATCACAAGTGGAATAGGACATAAAAAGGGTGTTCTCATTAATAAACAAATCAGCATTTCGAAAAACATCACCATGATGATACATAATAATTATCCCAAATGAAAATAAATTTGATATGAAATATTTGTGTAACAGAACAAATAAAGGACCTAAAGACAACATTACCGAGAACACAAAGAGTTCACCTAGAAGATCAGCAGCAGCTTGAACGGCTTTATCTTCATTTAATGGGCGAATTGCCACATCAGTTGCATGACCATATATACGTCTTTGCAGTTTAGTTGACAATCTATGGTTTGCCTGCGGAAAAAAGAAGAAGAAAGAAATCAAATATGTTCATTGTCCATTAATTTCCAATTCTGATGATCTTCAGTTTCAATGCCCAAGAGAAAGAATCATCAACTGAGATCACACATTCAGAAAGATAATGCAACACTGAAACACACTAAAGTGCCATGGACATGACCAATATTGAGTGTGGTAACTAGTATATGGATGTCAATAAGCCGCGTCAATATAAATGCATTGAAGCACACAGCAAACAAAAGTAGCTCAAATAAAGCAGTCGCAATAATTGTTTTTTTATTCCTTTCAGCATACAGCTCTGCCCCAGCACAACTATAAGTTTAACCTACAAGAATGAATTAGTCTTTGCCACTTATTTCGTCATCTTCAAATTTGTAAGCCATAACTTACTTCAACGTGGTCAATTTCCAATAGAATCACAACTTCTCATTCACTACTTCAATAGTCTTCCCTAGTCAAACATGATTTAAAAAACGTATTTATTTGCATCTTAGTTTCCATAATCAACTAAATACACTTAGAATCCTTTGATCTTTGCGCATCAAAATGTATATTTTTTTTAAATATCCCACACCATTAGGTAATTCCATCAGGATAATCAACTATTCATCTACCTATAATCTTTGTAGCTCAGTTGATTAACTACTTGAACTATCACCTTGTTGGTGGTGAGGGTTCGATTACCCATTTTATAATCTCCTCCCCATTTCCCCTGACCCACCCACCCCCAAAAAAAAAAACTTCAAATTCAGGTACTGAGCTCAGCCAAGCACAAACTCAGAGGATCTCACTAAATTCATAAAGGTTGTTTAACATTTCACATTTAATTTCACAAAAAAAAAAAATCCGTCTCTTTATATACCACAAAAACCCCATCTTTTTTCATATCACGAATTACCACTAGCTAAAACTCATACAACAGATACGCAAACAAAAACCCACAAATAAAAAATGATTTTTAGGGCAAAAATGAACCTGGGCAATGTTGATGATGAAATTTCGGAACCTGGGGTGGTATCCAGCCTCTTTCTTGATTCGATTACCGATAGGTTTACAGAAAGATTTGAGGGCAAGTGTGCCAAGCTTAAACACAGGTAATATCATCAGATCTCACTTCCCAAAACAAACAGAGAAATTTTTAGAGAGTTAAAAAAAAGTATTGAAGAAAACACAAAAGGGTTTTGATCACTCTGAAGCTCTCAATCATGGAGAGTCTCTCTGAAAAGAAATGAAGTGTGTGATTGAGATAAAATATGTATTTAGAAACTTCTAAATTTCGAAATTCAAAATTTTAAATTTTTATACTACCTAAAATACTAATTAACAATTGAAAAAGTATATAAAGAAATTATGATTAAAAAAATGTGATTACGTTCGAAATTTTAATCATGCCATATAAATTGTCACGAATGGAATAAGGTTTATATATTTTATAGAGATAAGAGTCTGAAAAATACTCCAATTTTGATCGAATTTGTTGCGATACTAAACTTTCATGAGGACCTATTACCTCCCTAAACTATTTAATACTGTATCTTAAACATATATATTTGCCCACGTGGACATAAAAAATAATGCAAAATTATAAATAGTAATGTTTCCACGTGATCACATATTTACCTTTAAAATGCACTATTAAATAGTTCATGGGGTAAAAAATACGGTATTAAATAGTCTAGGGAGGTAATAGGTCCTCATGAAAGTTTAGTATCTAAACGGGCAAATCCGACCAAAGTTGGGGTATTTTTCAGACCCTTATCCCTATTTTATATGGAATTATGATATGATATCATAATATGGAATCATGAGATGAAATTGAAGTTTTGTTTGGACATGCTATATGAAATTTTTGTGTTATATATTTTCTCATACTCATAAAAATCTCATAAGTTGTAAAACTTTTAAAATAGCCCCAATTGTTTATTCAATCTTCCCAAATAAACAAAAAATTATAAAATTGCATAATAAATTATTATAAAGCTATTTGTTTCTCACTTAAGTAACTATTTCATCAAACTTTAATTCAATGAAAAAAATTGAACATAAATTGTAGTGTACTAGTCTTTAATATTAACCTCCCACATAGTACGGATAATTTCCTCAATGTTGAACTTGCATTTCTCGATCATGTGACCGAGAAGACGAACCAACATTGTTACTTTGAGCCATTTGTTGGTCAATATCATCCGCAACTATATTTTCATGCTCATAGACCATAAATATTTCATCAGTACTTTGGTATTCTCGCAAATAATTATATAACACTCCACAAACTATGACAATTTTCACTTGTGTATCAATATCATAATGGTTCATGCCTTGTTTCAGTATTCTAAATCTAGTTTTCCAAGCTCCAAAAGTCCGTTCACTCACATTGTGCAGAGATGAATGCCTATAATTAAACAATTTTTTGGCATTTTGAGGCTCTCTTTCACTTCCTCGGTAATCTTGCAAATGATAGCGTAGCCCTTTGTATGGAGCTAAAAATCATTTATGTGTTTCGGAAACCAGCATCAACAACATAATATTTATCTACCAACAAACATTTTATAAAGAATTACTAAAAGCATATGTGACGTAAATGAGACAGCTTTGTGTAAATAAATAATATTTATTCTAAAGATGTAATTTAAAGTTACCATCCGGCGGAAATGAAAATTGTGACGTTGGTTCAACAAGTGCATTCTCAAGTATTTTACTATCATGTGCAGTACCTTCCCAACCAGCAACAACAAAGGTAAATCACATATCAAAATCACAAGCACATAAGACATTTTGTGATGTTCTTTCTTTGCGATTACGATATGCTTGTTGCACCGCTTTAGAAATCTCTCCTTCTATATATGTTTCATCAATCGCACCAAACGGTAGAAGTAATAAATTAAGTGTTGGAGTAAATGAACAGAACAAATTTATTACTCAACAATCGGTTGGTGTGAGTTAAAGTGACTATATGTTGGTGAGAATAATAAATTTTATGTCGGTGAGAATAATAAATTTTAAAAAGTAATGATGTGATTATAAGTTTTATTTACAAATATGAAATAAATGGTTAGTAGATATAAATGTGGGGTTGTTTTAACAAAATATAAATTCGTGGATCAATTTTTGTGTTAAAATATCTCAAATCATGATATGGAATCAGTGTAAAATTGCATGTCCAAACGTTGATTCCATCTCACGATACCATATCGTGATATGGTATCGCATGGCCAAACGCCTACTTATAAAAATAATTAAACTTTTTTTAAAAAGCATGTTAAAATAGAAATATAATTAAGTAATTTAATTTTTTTTAGCACATGTCACATTGCCTAAAATTTAGAAATTTATGTTTAAACAGATTTTATATTTTAACCCAACTTCGAAAATTGTATCTTTTTAGAACTTTAATATTTAAACTTAAATTTTAAAAAGAATTACCTTTCAATTCAAATCAAATGTAACCTAATAATATTGTATTAAAAGTAACAATATTAAAGAATATCAATCATATGAAATTATGATATGACTTGTGCTTGTTTGAGGAAAAGCAAAAAAAAAAATTTAGTGAATAATTCAATCTTTTATGTTGAATCTAAAGTGAGGGTATAAGACTTTTGAGAACTTAAGCTATGGTGAGTACATATCATTTCGCAGATATATATCGGTAATGACGAAAAGATTCATTTTATGTAACGATCAAGTTTGATGTGTTCGCATTGTTACCTTAATATTTTCTTCTCATTTTATCTTTATTATTGTTTAAAAAATCATATTTCATCTTTTATCTTACCTTTTCATAAAAACTCTACTCTGTATCCTACTTTTCTTGTAGGTTTATCACTCAAATTATAGGTGTGTGACATTATGTAACGACGGAGAACGATATATTCTATCCAAACATTATATTCATTAAAACAATACAATACGATACGATACGATACAATACAATACAATACCTACATTATGAAGCAATACGTAACAACCATCTAAACAAAGTGTAAGTATATTGTATCTATATATGATTAGCAGGGATAAGGCGAAGATCAATCTTCTTATGCATAACAATTCCAGGCTTACCATTTGTATCAATATCCTCTTTTTTCATCCCACAGGGCAGTTCCCAATCAAATGCATAAAGAAGATTTGACAATGCAAGTTCCGCAATTGCAACCCCAAGTGTAATCCCCGGACACCCTCTTCTTCCTGCTCCAAATGGAATTAACTCAAAGTCTTGTCCCTTAAAATCAATATTGTTATTCAGAAATCTCTCAGGAATAAATTCTTCTGAATTTTCCCCTATCTTAGAATCTCTTCCTATAGCCCAAATATTAACATGAATTATGGCTCCTGACTGAATTTCATACCCTTCTAGTGTGGATTTTTCAATTGATTTTCTTGGCAATAGAAGAAGAGTTGGTGGATACAATCTTAATGTCTCCTTTATTACTGCTTTGAGATAAGGCATATTTTGGATGTTATCTTCATTCACAAAGCCTTTTTTTCCAACTAATGTTCTAACTTTCTTCATGGCTTTTGGATTCTTCATCAAAGCTGTCATTGCCCATACTATTGTAGATGCACTAGTGTCTGATCCAGCTACTAATACATTCTACAAAGAAATTAACACACACAAAAAAAAAAACATGTTCTATAAAATTAGTTAGTTTAATTAATTAGGATGAATCTTCTTAATTAAAACTCATTTGTTAATAGGTAGGTTTAAGATATAGGAGATTACCATGTCAAGTGCTTTTATATCCTCCAAAGTAAGATCAATTGGTGTTGATGGAGCAAAAGATCAAGAATGTCCCCTTCCATAGATTTTGGCCTATTGGGATTGAGATGTTGCTCAATGAGTTCTTTATAAAACTCATCCAAATCTTTGAAATTCTTATCGAGTCTATTTTTCAATCCAATGAGTTTATCAATCCAATTTAAAGAAGGAAAAAAATCCGAGACAAAGAAGCTACCCAACAGTGCTTCAGCCTCAGCTAAAACTTCATCAAACCTCTTTTTTTCATGTGCTTCTTCATCATACCTAATACCAAAAGCAACTCTACAAATAATTGTACTCGTTAGTGAAATCAATATATTGCTCAAATTGGTGATTTGTGAAGTGGTAGCTTTTTGAGTTATTTTCTTAATCATTCTTGAAACTTCATCTACACGAATTGGACTAAACGATCGCACTTACTTGAGACTAAACAAATGAATAACAAAAACTTTTCTCATTTCCCTCCAATAGTCATCATAAGGTGCAAAGCCGATATCATGACCATTGTAAGACAATTTTTGTTGACCAAGAAGAGAAGGTCTACTACAAAATGCTAAATCTTGTCTCTTCATTGTTTCTTTTGCTAATTTTGCTGAAGAAATTACAAACATTGGAGTAGAACCAAGTTTCAATGAGAAAATTTCTCCATATTTTTTGGAAAGTTTCCAAAAATAGAGATGAGGAGTTGAATTATCATATTGATGCAAATTTCCAATGATTGGTAAACCTAAAGGACCTGGTGGCAAAATGATATTCCTACTCATTTTGGTTTTGTGAAAAAGAAAAATGAGAATAATAGGAAGAGCTACTAAGAATTGTAAAAACTATTGTCTTATATATAAATGGATTTTGGGTTAAAAGTTTCCTTTTTCAAATTTAATTTTTCGATTAAAGAGTTTATACGACTATTGTACATTAATTTAGAAATACATGTAACGTTTTACTCGTTTGTTTATCCAACTCAAATGTATGGAAAAGTATAAGCCATAAACAAATTGTTTTTTTTTTTGAGACTAAATAAATGATTTTTTCATTTTTGAATTCAAAAAGAGTTATGGTCCCCCACCCATGGATGAGTCGGAATTCCACGTAAAACACATGATATAAGTAAGTATTTATTTATCATTGGAACTTAGGTGTTTCGTCTAACAAAAAAGTAGATATTAAATTTAACGGTGCATTCTTGATTTAGTCCCTCCTAAAATTCTAGATAAGTAAACATGCGATTTGTATTTCTCCGGAAACAATTTCTTTATTTGTCAAGGTAAGAATAACACTTTTTTTTTTCTTCTCAAATTTTGCTTATAAAATTTTACTGAATATGTTATTATTGTTGTTGCTCAATTGATATGACATGTTGACAAGTTGAGAGAGAACCATATATTTTTTCATTTCTTTTTCATAGCATAAAGACACTAAGTTGCTACAACAATCATATTAGAGTAATTTGGTAAA